TTTTTTTTTTTTTTCTTTTTTTTGGACAGGGTCTCACTATGTAGTTGAGACTGACCTGGAACTCACTGTGTAGCCCAGGCTGGTCTCGAACTCATAGCGATCCTCCTGCCTCAGCCTCCCGAGTGCTGGGATGACAGGCGTGCACCACCACGCCCGGCTCAGGAGTGGTTTTTAAAGTACAGTTTTTAAAATGAGAATCATTTGTTTAAAAAATTTAAAGGCTTGGGAGTGTAGCTTAGTGGTGCCGCACCTGCCTGGCAGGCATAAGGTCCTGAGTTCAATTCCCAGTTCCAGGAAAGAAAATAAAAAAGAACTAAAAGCCAGCAAGCAGATAAAGAGTGCGAAGAGGGGCTGGAGCAGGAGAGTCTCTGGAAGCCCCACACAGGGCTGGTGGCTGCAGAGGAGGAGCAGCGGCAGGGGCTTTGGCTGTGACCTGAGCGGCATAGCATCTCCCGCCAGTGGAGAACGGATGGAGTCCAGGGAAGCTCAGCCCCCGCTTGGGTGGGCCAGGCCTCGCTTGCTTCATTAGCAGACAGCATGAAATGGTGACTGAGCAGAAAAACAAAGCTGTCGTAAGGCTGGGCGTAAAGAGAAATTCTATTTGACCTTGCTGTAGATTTTCCCAAGAGAAAAATTGGCAAATTACGGGGACGCATGGAATCAAGTGTTTATAGCAGCGCAGTTTATAATAAATACCTAGATCTTGGGAAGAGCGCATATGCCCATCAACAGATGAGCAGACAAGGAAAACGTATTTATACACAGTGGAGTACTCAGCCATAAAGATAAACTTGTGGCATTTGTAGGTAAATGGATGTTCGAGACGGTAAGAAGTCAGAATAAGCCTAAATATTGTGTGGTTTCTCTTACGAGAAACTCAGTGTGTGTGTGTACAAATAAAGGACTCAATAGAAGTTGCACAAGTAGTGAGCAGTTGGAATGACTCCCCAAATTGCCTGCCTGTGCTGTTTGATTTATTTATACAACTAGTATCTCTTCGTTCATTGAAAAGAAAGTTTTGTGCTATTTAGTTAGTTTCTTCTTTGTAAGACTTTTTCAATCTGTTTTATACTTTGAGTGACTGCTTTTAACATGATCTGCAGTATATTAACTATGGTTACCCTCCTAAAGGGGGGCAGGCGTGATATGGTGGCGCACACCTGTCATCCCAGCAGTCTGGTAGGCTGAGGCAGGAGGGTCACAAGTTCCAGCCCAGCCTGGATGACTTAGCGACTTCGTGAGAACCTGTCCCAAAATTTAAAAGAGAGGTTGAAGATGTAGCTCAGTGTGAAGGCCCTGGGTTCCATCCTCATTACCACAAGGAAAAGACCGTCACGCTAGTTGTCCAGCATGAAAATAAACGTGGAATGGGAGCTTAGAAAGCATTAAAAGTTGTCAAGGAGAAGTTTACAGTTCTGTGCCATGAAAAGCGATAAAGTCGAAGAACATGGCAGGTGGGAGAGCATGACTTGAGGTAATAAACGGACGGAGAAGCGGACCGGCCGGCCGTCGTGGCGGAGGAGACAGAAAGGCCAGGATGGATGCAGACTCGTCTGCCTCCTGCGGCCGGGCGGGGCCCGAGTGTTGCACGGCCCCTGTGCCTGGAGGGACAGTGCTGGTTGGCGACTCGCACGTCCCTGTCGTCCCTGTCCGAGCACTGCTTCCCGGGGCACCGCCAGCTGCCTGGAGGGCCGGGGAGGGAGAGGCCTGGACCGGGCTGGCCGCGGCATTCTTGCTTAAGGCAGAAGAGAAGAGTGCGCGTGCCTGTCTCTGCGGGCACAGCTGCACCAGGGAACGCGTGGCCGTGGCCGGAGGCAGGAGCAGCAGGAGGGAAGGCACATGCGGCCTGTGCTCCGTCCAGCCCTGCCCCACAGCATCTCCCTGAGGCTGATGTCTCAAGGGCAGGGGTCGTGGCAGCATCCGTGTGAACCACGTCCGGGTTCCCT